AGCACTCCAGTCTGGGCGACCGAGTGAGACCCCGACTCAAAAAAAAAAAAAAATGTTCAAGTAAAACATTTCAAAACTCATAGCAGCCGGGTATGGTGGCTCATGCCTGTAATCCCAGCACTTTGGGAGGTGGAGATGAGATGATTGCCTGAGTCCAGGGGTTTGAGACCAACCTGGGCAACTTGGCAAGACCTCATCTCTACAATAAATAAATAAATAAACTAGCTTGGTGTGGTGGCGCATGCCTGTAGTTCCAGCTACTTGGAAGGCTGAGGTAGAAGGATCGCCTGACCCCCACAAGTTGAGGCTGTGGTGGCTGTGAGCGTGCCACTGCACTCCAACCTGGGCAACAGTGAGACTTCGACTCAAAAAAAGAAAAAAAATCATATCAGCAATAGTTTATTGAACACGTGACATATGCCAGTCCTGAGTGAAGAGGTTTACATATATCATCTCCGTTAATCATCTCCGTGACCTCTGAGATGCCTACATTTGTGTCATTTTCCAGCTCTCCAGTCACTTGTCCCACCACTGTCCCCTTTGCTCCATTCCAGCCACCCTGGCTATTTTACTCTTCCTGGAACCCAGGAAGCAGCTCCCACCTCAGGGCTTTTGCACTTGCCAGTCCCTCTGCCAGGTACCCACCTTGCATATTGGACCACTCTGTTCAGGTCCCTGTTCAGATTTCCCCGAGCACACTCCTTCTCTGACCCTTTCTAAAATAGCACTCCCCTTGCATCATCCCTGAGCCACACTTACTTTTCCTCCTACCACCTGACATACAAAAGACATGTTTTTGGTTTACTTGTCTGCCTCAGCAGCACTGACATCTTATGTAATCACCCAGTGCCTAAAACACTGTCTGGCAAAAGGAAAGCCCTCAAAAATAGTTGAAAGAATGAACTCTCATTTTGCACAGGAGGAAAATGGAGCTACAGGGATTAAGTAATTTCCCCAAAGGCCCAAAGCTTGAAAGTAACAAAGCCAGGAACTTTCTCTCTGAGTTTAGAGCTCACCTCATGCATCTTATCACTCACTCCTAAACTTTTTCACAAGGGCCCTATGTCAGTTGGGCTGAATTACCTTCAAAAGTGAAATAGGGATGTTATCAGTTATGATAGCCATAAACCAGGACTCTTACATATACCATGGGATTATGATTGCTCTAACTATAATCAACATAAGTTGTAAAGAAGCAGGAAGGAACTATAACATATAAACTCAGTGGTGCTTTTTGTTTCCGTGTTTATACAGTGCATTGTACATGTTCATGGTAATATGGGGCAAGAAATCATTTCCTCCTTTAAGGGATTATATGCTTACTATTTGCATTTTATCTACTTCCATTTCTACATTTGAGAAAGAAAGAAATTAGAGAGCATCCAGAGAAGAGCAAGAAAAAGACAAAACAGTTGGGAATATGGTTCATTAAAAATAGTAAATTCTCCCATTGGAATACAGAGGGATATTTTCTAAATAACTTTAAAATCTGTGAAAGGTGGATATTGACCCCTTGTTTCCATTCCCACAGAAGGAAGGACTGAGAGTAAAAAATGGACTTAAATTGTTGCAAGAGAGCTTATTCATCCTTGAAGAAAAGATTATTGATACTGGAATAAGCCACAAAAAACAAGAGGGTGGTCTGTGGGACCAGCCTGAGTGGGCAGGAGGGTAGAAAGAAGAGAGGAGAAGCCTCTCAGGTGCTCATACCACGTCCTCCTGCCGTGTTGTCCAGGTGTCCGTGATCAACGGGACCAGCCCTTTTGCCTATGACTACAACCTTCCCCATATTATTGCTGCCTACCAGGAAAGGAACGGTGAGTTATGGGTGAATCATTTGACCTCTACTCATGTCCGAGAACTTTCTGGTTTAGAGGGGGCAACAAAGACAAAGAGCCCTGGAACCTTTGTGTTGTGATGAAAATTTCAAAACTAGTGAAGGCTCAATAATGGGAACAAACAGGCTACCCAAGATTTGTCCCTCTTGTTCTAATCTTCAGACCTGGGACCATCCCCAGCCTCCGATCACACCTGTAGTCCAGCAGGTTAGTGATGATTAATTGCCGTATTTATTCCACAACTGACTTGATTATTTTCTTTTTTAAAAAAATATAAGCTTAAGGCCAGGCATGGTAATTTACTCCTATAATCCCAGCACTCTGGATGGTCAAGGCAAGAGAACCACTTGAGCCCAGGACTTGGAGTCCAGCCTGGGCAACATAGTGAGATCTTGTCTCTACAGAAAAATAAAATTAGCCTGGCGTGGAGGCACACACCTGTCATCCTAGCTACTCAGAAAGCTGAGGCAGAAAGATCACCTGATTCCAAGAGGTTGAGGCTGTGGTAAGCCATGATTGTGCTACTGCAATCCAACCTGGGTGACAGAGTGAGACCTCAACAGGGAAAAAAAAAATACATATATATATAATATATGTAAGCTTAATTGAATCGTTCTCCATACCATACCTCTAAAAGAAGCCAAACACATATTGCTGTTCACACTTTTCATGTAGAAATAGAGAATAAGAGTGACTCTCCCCACATTAGCAGTCCAGTAGAAGGGCAGAAGTGACCACACTTCCTGTGGAAGGCAGAGTGCTCACTCCCTACAGGAGGAGGCTCTCTGGCTGTCACATGTGCTTGTCTCAGCATGTTGGCTGGTTAGTGGTCTGAGGTTCTCTCTAAAGGTATCTAATGTGTTACTTGGCAACAAAACCATGAATACTACACACAGACATTTTGTAGTGGGAGCACGGGCAATTCCAGGATTGCTTACTGATTTTTATGTAGTACACTAACAGCATTTTTTTTTTTTTGAGTTGAAATCTCACTCAGTCACCCAGGCTGAAGTGCAGTGGCATGCTCACGGCCACCACAGCCTCAACTTGCTGGGCTCAGGCGATCCTTCTGTGTCAGCCTCCCAAATAGCTGGAACTACACCACCAGGCCTGGCTAATTTTTTGATTTATTGTAGAGATTAGGTCTCACCAAGTTGCCCAGGCTGGTATTGAACCCCTGGACTCAGGCAGTCCTCTCACCTCAGTCTCCCACAGTGCTGGGATTACAGGCTTGAGCCACCGTGCTGGCCTAAGCATTTTTCAATAATAAAGGAAATTTTAAAACAAAACTAATCCAGGTGAGGTGGCTCATGCCTGCAATACAAGCACTTTGTGAGGCTGAGGTGGAAGGATCACTTGAGCCCAGGTGTTTGAGACCAGCCTAGGCAAAATGAGACCTTCGTCTCTACAACCCTCTCCCCCTCCACAAAAAATTAGCCAGGCATGGTGGTACACACCTGTAGTCCCAGGTACTTGGGTGGCTGAGACAGGAAAATTGCTTGAGCCCAGGAGTTAGAGGCTTTGGTGAGCTATTATCATGTCCCTGCACTCCATCCGGAGCAACAGAGTGAGACTCCAACTCAAAAAAAGAATAAACTAAAAAGCACTGATCAACAAACCAACATTTTTCTTTATTTTCTTCACTCTTTTTCCTTTCGTGGGGTTTTAAAAATATACCAGTTATTATAATGTAGAAACACTTTGGTATCCAAATTATTTTTATTTATTTAACTCTATAAATGTTTCCCCACATTTCTATAAAGTACTAACTGATATTATTATTATTATTATTATCATCTTTTTTTTTGAGTCGGAGTCTCACTCTGTTGCCCAGGCTGGAGTGCAGTGGCATGATCTGGGCCACCACAGCATTGACCTACTGGGCTCATTCGATCCTTCCTCTTCAGATTTCCAAGTAGCTGGAACTACAGGTGTGTGTTATCATACCCGGCTAATTTTTTGATATCTTGTAGAGGTGAGGTCTCGCCAAGATACCCAAGCTGGTCTCAAACCCATGGGCTCAGGCAATCCTCTCACCTCGGCCTCCCAAAGTGCAAGGTTTATAGGTATGAGCCACCGCGCCCAGCCTCTGACATCCTTTTTAGTGGCAGCACAGTATTCCTTCAGTTAGCCATTCAGAAAATGTAGAAGAAACTATCTCCAAGTTTTTGTTGTATCTTAATATAAGTGTTTTTGACAAGTATTTTAGCAAATAATGTGTAATCAACTTTGTACATGCAACTTATCTTTCCTGTTGAATGACCTGTTTTAGTTCTGAAGCCAGGGTAGTTTCTGGGAATCAAGGAATCCTTATAGCCCTCAATTAGCAGGGTCTAAGGGTCATCCTGGTTAATGGTTAATGATTGTTTTGCAGTTACCACCATCCTCCATGTTCCCAATCCCATCTGGCTGGTGGGCAGGGCCGCAGAAGCTCCATTTGTGATTAATGCTGTCATCCGATACCCTGTAGAAGTCATCTCATATCCTTTCTTGTTAAAGAGTCCATGGCAGCTCAGTTTCCAAAGAGGAATTGCTCAGTTATCCCAAGTAGGAACAGTTGGTGGGAAGCCTTAGACTGGAAATCTCTACAGTGTCATAGCCTGACACAAATGATTGTGTCTTTGACACTTTAGGCTACACTATGAGAAAAAAAATGACCGTGTGTGTCTGCTGTTCATACAGGGAGGAAATTTCATTTCCCGTTCATATTTCTTTGTAGGCAGTTCTCGTACATCAGGATCATCCTTATTTATGTCCTAATAAACTATTATTATACCTTTTATCTTAAGCATATTTGAATTCTTACCATTTCCTGTCTGACCCAAACCTCGGTTTAAATTTGACTTATATCAGCTAATACAAAACAAAAAAAACCTTCAGAGCAGCAAACAAGAGAAAGTATTTTAATCGAGATCTTAGGAATTGTAATTCCAGAGGCACAGATTTAGCAAACGGCCAAGTTGTGTTCTATCCAGGCACGATCGTGCAAGGGCTTTTAAGAGCTACTGTAAGTACACTCTAGAAGGTTTTAGCACAGTCCATGACTGATAATGGCTAGGGTAACATCTTAGGATGTCTCTAGTCAATGATCAATCTAGTTGAGCATAGCTGTCCTATCCAGCAGGTTGGTGATCAGTCTCAGTATAAACTGTTCACATCAATATAGCTGATTTTATGATTTGCCAAAGTTCAGGTCACTTTCCACCAATGTGTATGCAATGGGGGTCCAACTCTTCATACTTTCCCAGCTCCTAAGATACATCTCACAAAAACATCTCCATCTTAGATTTTCTTTTCCGTTTACACCTAAAACATGTGGTCCTCAATCCTTAACTGACTGTACTTATCAACCAGGATTCTGGGAGATGATCAAGTTTGCCTGGGTCCAGTATGTCAGTATCCTGCTTATCTTCCTCTGGGTGTTTGAAAGAATCAAGATTTTTGTGTTTCAAAACCAGGTGGTGACCACAATCCCTGTAGCAGCAGTGCCCCAGGGAGGAATGTATAAGGAACACTTATCCTAAGAAGATAATATCTGAAGACTTGGAAGGACCATGGCTACCTCACTGTTGTCTTCTGAGATCTGCCATCTTAGGACATTTCTGAAAGAGTCCAGTGGACACATGTGGGCTTGTGTTTTTTTCCCCTTTCAGACAAAGAGCAGGTCTTTGCAATTTTGTTCCACACAAATTCCATGTTTTCTAAGTATCTACAAAATCGTCAGGGACTAGTTTGTAGAAAAGTCTGAGGCTGTAATCACTTTTGGGGTTGCTTTTTGTTGTTGTTGTTGTTGTTGTTTGCCTTAGCATTGAATTTCAGGAGAAAACTACAGTCAGTTCAGACTTCTTGGGAAGAGTCCCATCTCTAGTCAACAGAAGACTTTTCCTCTTTTGACCTGAGAAATACACTGTGCATTTCTTCCCTTCTATTGTGACCCACTTTTTACTCTTTTCAGGCTTTCTTGTGACAAACATGCCAATCACTAGCACTTTCCACATCTGGGAATCTCCATTTCCCATTCAGAGCTTTGATTTCCAGAACTGAGGCCTTTAATAGAACTGGAGGAGACAGGGCGCAAGGACAAGGGCCACATGTGCATATGTGTGAGGGTGGGCCACTGAGAGACAGTCAGACCATCCACCTGCCCTCTGTCCACCAGACAGTTGTCAGCTGAGCAGCCCTTCATCCCAGCCCTACTGTGGTTGTCTCTTTGCCCTGCCTTTTGTCTTCTGTGCCCCTGGAATGACAAGCTGAAGTCAGAAGTGCTGTTTCATCCACAACCCCTCTGGCAACAGTGGGGGAAGAATTGTAACAACAGGTTTCTTCTCTCTGGCCCTCACCCAACAGCCCAAACACTTGGCCCTCTCCTCCTTGACAGCCCTCCCCCTTCCTAAAAAGGACGAGGTGATGGGCGTTGGTGTTGGTATTGGTATTGGCTCCCACTGCATGACAACCACAAGTTTATTTACAGGGCTAGCGGGAAGCCCAGCTATTTGTGGTTTTCTTGAGTAAGAAACAGTATGCCCACCAGTATGAAGTGAGCAGCTTTAGGAAGGACACAAGAAGCAGTAAAGGAGTAAAGAGGATGCTAGCCAAGGCAGGCCAGTCTAGCCTGCAGAATGACAAGCAGTCCAGGCAGATTGTCCTCATGGCTAAGCAAGCATATGCGGGAGCAGAGATGGCAGGAAGGGGCATCTGTTGCGCCTGGAAGACTGTTTAGCGCCATTCCCCTTTTGAGGTATCATGCAGTCTCTTCCAAGGTCAGATGGAGCTGTATTATGATCCCAAGCATGTCATTGGCACTAGAAGGGCATAGCCCCTGTGATCCATGCTTTGTGCCCACCCACAAACACACCCCTCAGTGTGTTTCTTAGTTTACCTTGGAGATCAGTTCTCATTTCCAAAGCCTCTTTTCTTTCAGGCTAAAATAAGAATTTTGGAAACAAAGCTGTTTTGAAGTATTCAAGCAGAAAATTTCCCTAACATAGATCGCCCTGCCTTTCTTTTAATACATAGAGTTGGATATGCCTACATTTTTTTAATACATAGGGTTGGATATGCCTACATTTTTTTCTGCAGCTTTAAATGAAAAAATAATTTCTGGTTTAAGTCTTAAAAAGGTAATGAGATGTGGAACAATGGCTAATGATATGTCTAATTACCGTTTTGCATTTTATTAAATTATTCTAATGCCAAACTTGTATAAAGAACCCATGGTGTTTTGTAACTTTCTAATTAAAATGTTCAAAAAGGAAAGTTGCTTGTAGCTTTTATTTTATTAATTTTTTTTCCAACTGAACCTGGGGAAGACTTTATGGGTTTTTTGGTTTATTTTATTTCAGTAGTGGTTGGCGTGCAGGTGGTTTTTGGTTACCTGGGTGAATTGTATAGTGGTGAAGTCTGGGTTTTTAATGTACTTGTCACCCAAATACTGTGCGTTGTACCCGATGGGTAATTTTTCATTCCTCACCACCTTCCTGCCCTTTCCCCTTCTGAGTCTCCGGCATCCATTATACCACTCGGTATGCCTTTGCGGACCCACATCTTAGCTCCCACTAATAAGTGAGAGCATGCAGTATGTGGGTTTTCGTTCCTGAGTTGGTTGCATGCACCTTTTTAGAGGAAATGGGTTTGGAGAGGGAAGAATAGGCGTGCCAAGGTTGCGCATACTTCTCCAAGTTACTCACCAACATCCCTGCTTTGCCAAGCCTCTGCCCAAAGACGCTGCAGCTTTTGTTAGCTTTTCGGCACACGTCTCAATGTCCAACCTCAAGTAAATAAGTTTTCGATGAAATTCACATGCCATATAGTAGCCACAGGCAAGAATATTACAACTGTGTCTGGTGAATGTAAAATTATTTACAGATCAAAGGTTGGCTGTTTCTGCCCCTGAATCACACAACAAAATTGCAAGAGGCAAAAAGATAAGAAATATACAGGGTTTTATTTATTCAGCTATACCCCATAGCTTGGTTAGGTTTTGAGATAATTACTGATTATTTTGGGGGGATTTTTAATTTTGTCAAATGATTTGAAAGTTTCTGCTTAAATCAGATGAGATCTCTAATGCCCAATCATGTAAGGCTAACAAAGTAATTCCTTCTTTTTTTTATCTTTTTCTTTTTTTTTGAGTAGGAGTCTCACACTCTGTTGCTCAGGCTTGAGTGCGGTGGCATGCTCAACGGTCACCCTAACCTCCACCTGGACTCAGGCAATCCTTCATTCGCCTTGGCCTTCCTAGTAGATGGGACAACAGGTGCATGCCATGCCTGGCTAATTTATTAAATTATTGTAGAGACGCGGTCTCGCCATGTTGCCCAGGCTGGTCTCTAACTCCTGGGCTCAGACAATCCTCTTCCCTCAGCCTCTCAAACTGCTGGAATTAGGGGTGAGAACCACCACACCTGACTTCTTGTGAATAAATTCCTATTGCTGGCTTATTTTCCTAAGAAAATTTCAAAAAGCTATGACTAGTGTTTAAGGATCATAGTACTTCTTGCCAAGCCACATCCAGAAAGACTGTGCTAATTTCTGCTCTCAGCAGCAGAGACTTCTTGTTTTGCATCCCACCACTGACCACAAGGCCTCAGAATCCTCTGTCCTTTTCAGATGCCTGAGCTCTGCCCTGCTATTTGAAAGGGCATGGGGAAGATCTATTTTATTGGTTCAGAGGTATCCTGTATTTATCTGGACCTGCTATGAAACCTGCACCTCTGGGAGGAGACTAGGGCGGACATCTACCGGCCCAGCTCCTAAAGGCCACTACCTGGTCTCGACCCCTCCCATTTGGGCTGCTGCTGCACCTGGAGGCAGAGGTGTCTGAGGCTTAGTTTAGGAAGGAGGCTGGGGCCTTGGGAAGCGGTTTGGATCCCAGGTCACTTCGCTGCAAGGATGTCTCCGAGAGCGAAGAGGGACAAGATTAAGACTCGATTTCCTGGCCAGGCACGGTGGCTCACGCCTATAATCCCAGCACTTTGGGAGATGGAGGCGAGAGGATTGCCTGAGCCGAAGGGTTCGAGACCAGCCCTGGAAACTTGGTGAGACCTCATCTCTACAATAAATCAAAAAACCAGCCGGGCGTGGTGGCGCGTGCCTGCAGTTCCAACTACTTGGAGGGTTGAGGCAGAAGGATTGCCTGAGCCCAGCAGGTCGAGGCGGCGGTGGCGGTGGCGGTGGCGGTGGCCGTGAGCGTGCCACTGCACTCCAACCGGGGCTACAGAGTGAGACTCCAACTCAAAAAAAAAAAAATTCGATTTCCTTCCCAAGGGTCTGTGTCCCACCAGAAGCCCCCTCTCTCTAGGACTGGAGTGCGGGTGACCGTGTTTGTAGTCAGCGAGGTGAGAGGTGATGCCGGCGCCCTGGACATCCTCAGCCAAACGGCGCGCCCCC